ACCCTATGTTGGCATCAACTAGGTAGTTGGGACCCTATGTTGGCATCAAGTTATGTTGGCATCAACTAGTAAGAGGGGACACTATGTTAGCATCAACTAGGGAGTAGTGACCCTATGTTGGCATGAAGTTATATTGGCATCAACTTGGGAGTGGAGACCCTATGGTAGCATCAACTAGGGAATGGTGAACCTATGTTGGCAACAAGTTATGTTGGCATCAACTAGGGAGTGGGGACCCTATGTTGGCATCAATTAGAGTGTCGTGAAACTATCTTGGCATCAAGTTATGTTGGCATCAACTAAGGAGTGGAGACCCTATGTTGGCATCAACTAGGGAGTAGTGACCCTATGTTAGCATCAAGTTATGTTGGTATCAACGAGGGAGTGCTAGGTTGAGTTCGTCACTACCTATCGGTCCATAGGTTCGACTTGTTACTTACTAGTTGGTGTACTCGCGTTACCCCTTGCACCTTGTGTGCAGATCCAGGTGCTTTCAATCCCAGTGGCAGCCACTGATCGAGGTTGCAGGCTTGGGAGATTGTTGAGGTATCTGCATGGCGTTCGCAGATCTTGACCCTCCTTCTTTATTCTAGTTGTGTTTCAGTTGTATTCAGTAAACATTGTAGTAGACTATGTTATTTCTCTAGATGCTCATGTACTCCGTGACACCCTAGTTTTGGGCTGGTTGAATCGTGTTATGGATTTTGCTTATGTTATGAAAAGTCTATTTTCTTAAAGGATAAAAGTACTCTTCCACAAATATTCTAAATTTTAGTATTGTGGTTGGTTTTTCGTTGAGTTGAGGCTGGCCTAGTTCCACGATAGGCACCATCACGACAGGTTAGGTTTGGGTCGTGACAAGTTGGTATCAGAGCCTAGGTTACATAGTTCTCACGAGTCATGAGTGGGTTTAGTAGAGTCTTGCAGATCGGTACGGAGACGTCTGTACTTATCTTCGAGAGGCTGCAGAACCTTTTAAAAAGAACTTCACACTCTTGAATTCTTTTCGTGCGAATCTGTTGATTCTGGAACTAAACATATGTTATTGTATTCTCTCACAGATGGTGAGGACACGTACTACCGGTCAGCGCGGACAGCCACCAGTACCACCAGTTGGGGCAACGAGAGGCCGAGGTTGTGGTAGGGGCTGTGGCAGAGGTAGAGGTGCAGCTCGCACCGCAGCTAGGGCAGCACCAGGTGCCACAGTTCAGGATCAGGTTTCGGGTGTGGATGTCCCAGCGGGACCAGCTCAGGCACCAGCTGTGCCTATTGCTATTCCAGGTCTCTCAGAGACCTTGGCTCAGATTCTGACCGTGTGCACCAGTCTTGCTCAGGCGGTCGTGTTTTTTCTACAGCAGCTACTTCCCAGGCCGGGGGAGGCACTCAGACTCCCGCCGCTCGCACACCCGAGCAGGTTGTTCAGGGACTTCAGACACCGGGGTACCACTAGCCCAGCCGGTGTCACCTGCTCAGGATTATGCGGTACAAGTTATGCCTGATGACGAGCAGCGTTGGTCGGAGAGGCTTGGTAGACTTCAGCCTCCGACTTTTTGTAGTGTAGAGGGTGAGGATGCCCAGGGTTTCTTGGACAAGGGTCAGAGGATTCTTCGTACAACGGGCATTCTGGAGACCAGTGGGGTCTCATTTACTACTTTTCAGTTTTCTGGAGCTGCCTTTACTTGGTAGGAGGCTTATGAGACGCATAGGCCTGTTAGTGCAGCGCCTTTTACTTGGCAGCAGTTATCCGTTCTCTTTCTGGAGAAGTATGTACCACAGTCCCGCAGAGAGGAGCTGCGCAAGCAGTTCGAGCAGTTGCGTCAGGATGATATGAGTGTGACACAGTAAGAGATGAGGCTTTCTGAGTTAGCCCGTCATGCTGTTTTTTTGGTCCATACTGACAGGGAGAGGATCAGGAGGTTCGTGGATGGCCTCGTATATCAGCTACAGATTCTTATGACTAAAGAGAGGGTATCTGGCGCTTCTTTTGAGGAGGTGGTTGACATTGCTCGAGAGATAGAGTCGGTTCGCCGCCAGGAGCGAGTTGAGAGGGAGGCCAAGAGGCCTCGAGGATTTGGTAGCTTTGGTGGTGTTCCTTCTAGAGGTCAGTTCCAGCACGGTAGAGGCCGTCCATTCAGACATGCTCAGTCAGCTCGTCCAGGTCACCGTGGTGGATTATCTGGCAATGGTACTCACAGTTCACATTAGGGCCACTCATCTCTCAGTACCCTTCCAGCTCAGAGTTCGACTCATGCGCCATCAGTTGAAGGCTCATCTACGCCTGGTTCTTCCAGTGGATATCCCGGTGCTCGGGGCTCCCTTCAGTCCCCACCGCCATTTGCCGGGAGAGGTTGCTTTGAGTGTATCGATTTGGGTCATATCAAGAGGTTCTGTCCCTGCCTTTCGGGAGGTTCATCCTAGCAGAGGAGTCGGCCTTCGGCTTCTACACCAGTTACTTCCCCACCCGCCCAGTCAGCTCGAGATGGAGGTCAGTTAGCCAGGGGTGGCCCTAGAGGGGGAGGTCGATCAGGTGGCGGTCAGGCCCGTTTCTATGCACTCTCTGCCAGACCCGATGCTATTGCTTCAAATACTGTCATCACAGGTATTATCTCAGTTTTCCATAAGGATGCCTCTGTATTATTTGATCCTAGTTCCACTTTTTCATATGTTTCATATATGGGCAATACTATTGTAGTGGACCGCGTGTATCGATCTTGTGTGGTAACTATTGAGGGTTTAGAGACCCGAGAAGACCTTTTGTCGCTTAGTATGGTGGACTTTGATGTGATATTGGGTATGGATTGGTTGTCTCCGTGACATGCTATTTTGGATTGTCATGCTAAGACGGTGACATTGGCTATGCCGGGGGTGCCACGAATTGTGTGGCGAGGTTCGACGAATTATGTCCCCAGCAGGGTGATTTCATTCTTGAAGGCCCGACGGATGGTTTGGAAAGGATGCCTTTCTTATTTGTCCTTTGTAAGAGATGTCAGTGTAGAGACCCCGAGTATTCATTCGGTTCAGGTGGTGAGAGATTTCCCAGATGTATTTCCTGCAAACCTACCGGGCATGCCGCCGGACAGGGATATTGACTTCGGTATTGATTTGGCGCGGGCACAAAACCCATTTCTATTCCACCGTATCGTATGGCACCGGCGAAATTGAAAGAGTTAAACAAGCAGCTTCAGGAACTCCTTGATAAGGGGTTTATTCGGCCTAGTATGTCGCCTTAGGGTGCGCCTGTTCTATTTGTGAAGAAGAAGGATGGCACTATGACGATGTGCATTGACTACAGAGAACTGAGCAAGGTTACAATCAAGAACAAATATCCTTTTCCTCGTATTGATGATTTATTTGACCAGCTTCAAGGAGCGAGAGTGTTCTCCAAGATTAATCTCCGGTCAGGGTATCACCAGTTGAAGAATAGGGACTCGGACATTCATAAGATAGCTTTCAGGACCCGATGCAGTCATTATGAGTTCCTTGTCATGTCTTTTGGGCTGACCAATGCCCCAGCAACATTCATGCATCTGATGAACAGCGTGTTTTAGCCTTATCTCGACTTGTTTGTTATTGTATTCATTGATGATATTCTGGTGTACTCGCGTAGTCAGAATGAGCACGCTGAACATCTGAGAGTTGTATTGCAGTGGTTGAGGGAGAAGATGCTTTATGTTAAGTTCTCCAAGTGTGAGTTTTAGCTCAGTTTAGTGGCGTTCTTAGGACACGTGGTGTCCAACGAGGGTATTCGGGTCGATCCGAATAAGATAGAGGCGGTCCAGAGTTGGCCCAGACCGTCCTCAGCCATAGAGATTCGTAGCTTTCTGGGTTTGGCGGGTTATTACCGTTGGTTCGTTTAGGGATTTTCATCTATTGCATTACCCTTGACCAAGTTGACCCAAAGGGTGCTCTTTTCAGGTGGTCGGATGAGTGTGAGACGAGCTTTCAGAAGCTCAAGACAGCTTTGACCACAGCTCTTGTGTTAGTTTTGCCATCAGCCTCAGGTTCATATACCGTATATTGTGATGCTTCTAGAGTTGGTATTGGGTGTGTGTTTATGCAGGAGGGTAGAGTGATTCCTTATGCTTCTCATCGGTTGAATCCCCATGAGAAGAACTACCCTGTTCACGATTTGGAGTTGTCTGCCATTGTTCACGCGTTGAAGATTTGGAGGCATTATCTCTATTGTGTGTCTTGTGAGGTGTTTACCGATCATCGTAGCCTCCAGCACTTGTTCAAGCAGAAGGATCTCAATTAGAGGCAGCGGAGGTGGTTGGAGCTTCTAAAGGACTATGATATTACTATTTTGTACCATCCAAGGAAGGCCAATGTAGTGGCTGATGCCTTAAGTAGGAAGGCGGTGAGTATGGGCAGTTTGGCATATATTCATGTTGGGGAGAGACCTCTTACAGTTCATGTTCAGGCCTTGGCCAATCGATTTTGGCCAATCGGTTTGTGAGGTTGGATTTTTTGGAGCCCAGTCGGGTCTTAGCTTGTGTGGTTTCTCGGTCTTCCTTATTTGATTGCATTAGCGAGCGCTAGTATGATGATCCTCATTTGCTTGTCCTCAAGGATAGAGTTTAGCACGACGATGCCAGAGATGTGACTAATGGTAATGATGGGGTATTGAGGATGCAGGGCCGGATATGTGTGCCCAATGTAGATGGACTTTGGGAGTTGATTCTGGAGGAGGCCCATAGCTCACGGTATTCCATCCATCCGGGTGCAGCAAAATGTACCAGGATTTGTGACAACACTACAGGTGGAGAAGAATGAAGAAAGATATAGTGTGATTTGTAGCTCGGTGCCTCAATTGTCAGCAGGTGAAATATGAGCATCAGAGACTAGGTGGCTTGCTTCAGCAGATAGATATTCAAGAGTGGAAGTGGGAGCGGATCACCATGGCTTCGTAGTTGGCCTCCCACGGACCTTAAGGAAGTTCGATGCTATTTGGGTGATTGTAGATCGGCTGATCAAGTTCGCGCACTTCATTCTTGTGTGTACTACCTATGCTTCAGAGCTATATCTGAGAGATTGTTCGCCTGCATGGTGTCCCAATTTCAATCAATTCAGATAGAGGTACTCAGTTCACATTGCAGTTTTGGAGGGCCGTGCAGCGAAATTTAGGTACTCAGGTTGAGTTGAGTTTAACTTTTCACCCTCAGACAGACGGGCAGTCTGAGCACACTATTCAGATATTGGAGGACGTGTTGCGCGCTTGTGTCATCGATTTTGGGAGTTCATGGGACCAGTTTTTACCGCTCCCGGAGTTTGCTTACAACAACAGTTATCAGTTGAGTATTCAGATGGCTCCATATAAGGCTATATACGGGAGACGGTGTATATCTCCAGTGGGATGGTTTGAGCCGGGCAAGGCTAGACATTTGGGTACAAACTTAGTGCAGGATGCTTTGGACAAGGAATAAGTGATTCAGGAGCGGCTTCGTACAGCGCAGTCAAGAGAAAATAGTTATGCTGACAGAAAGGTTGGTGATATGTCTTATATGGTTGGGGAGAAGGTTCTATTGAGGGTCTCACCCATGAAGGGTGTTATGAGATTTGGTAAGAGGGGCAAGTTGAGCACTCGGTTCATCTGACCTTTTGAGGTACTTCATAGGATAAGGGAGGTGACTTATGAGCTTGCTATGCCGCCTAGCTTGTTGGGGGTGCATCCGGTATTTCATGTTTCTATGCTCCGGAAGTATGTCAGTGATCTGTCTCATGTTTTGGATTTAGTACGGTTCAGTTAGATGGTGATTTGACTTATAATGTGGAGCCAGTGGCTATTTTAGTGGTGCGGCAGGTTCGTAAATTGAGATCAAAGGATATAGCTTCAGTGAAGGTGCAGTGGAGAAGTTGGCCCGTGAAGGAGGCTACTTCGGAGATCGAGCGGGAGATGTGGAGTAGATATCCACAGCTATTTGAGGCTTCAGGTATGTTTCTAGACTCTTTCGAGGACGAACGTTTGTTTAAGAAGGGGAGGATGTAACGACCCGACAGTCGTTTCATGAGTTACAGCTCTGCTTTCCCGGTTTATGCTTTCTTCTGTGTTCATCAACAGTGTTTTATTGTAGCCTGTTGGTTGATTTGAGTCCGAGGTGGTTTTGGAGTGGAATGAGGCACTTAGCCTCCTATTTAGAAGCTTAAGTTGGAAAAAGTCATACGGATGTTCACTTATGTGTAGACGGTTTCGGAATAGAATTTCGAGAGTTTGAGTAGCTTTATAAGGTCATTTGCGACCTGTGTGCAAAATTTGAGAATATTCGGGCGAGGTTTGATTGGTTTCGGAGTCATTTGTGGAATTTATGAGTTTGGAGTTCTTAGGCTTGAATCCGAGATTTGATTCGATGTTTGGTGTTGTTTTGAGTGATTCGTACATTCGACTAAGTTTGAATGATGTTATGGGATGGGTTGGTATGTTTGGTTGATGTCCCCAGGGCCTCGGATGTGTTTCGGATAGTTATCGGAGGAGTTTAGCTGATGAAACAGGTGCTGCATTGCTGAGGGGAGTTGCTAGAGTTTCAGGGGGGGGGGGGGTTCTCTAAAGTTGAGAACGCGGACCATGCCAGTAATTTGCGGTCAACGGTGTGTTTTCGCGGGAGAGGCGGAATTTCGCGCTCAGCGGTGGAGGCTGGCGCGGACAGCGGTAAAGGACGCGGGGGCGGCTGTAATTCTGCGGTCAGCGGTGAAGGACGCGGGGGCGGCTGTAATTCTGCGGTCCGCGAATTTGGGATCCGGGAATGCACTATAAATACGAGGTTCAGGGTTTTATTTTCATACTTTGACCTAGAGAGCTCGGGATTTGGCGACTTTTCGAGAGATTTTTCAAGAAAACCAACGGGCAAGTGATTCTAACTCAATTTCGGCTAAAATACATGATTATAACATTGGATTCGTCATTTGAGTGGACATTTGGGATGAAAATTTTGGGAAAATTGGTGGAACTTCATAAAATGAACTTGTGGGATTTTAAAGTCGATTCGAAGTTGAAATTGAGTAAAACTAGTATGGTTAGTCTCGTAATTGAGTGGGTTGGCGGATTTTGTGACTTTGGTCGGATTTTGAGACGTGGGCTCGGGGCCCGTATTTTGAGTTGACATTTTGACTTTTGGTCTTAAGCTAAGTATATTCTTATCGGATTGATTCTTTTAGCTCGTGTTGATTGTATCGAATTGTTTAAAGCTAGATTCGGAGCATCCGGAGTTCGATTTGTGGGGCAAAGGCATCGCGGAATAGGATTTTGGCTTGGTTGAGGTATGTAACGCTTCCAAACTTGGTTCTAAGGGTTCGAAACCCCGAACTATGTGCTACATGATGGTATTGAGGTGAAGCACATGCCAAGTGACGGGCGTGCGAGCGTGCACCGTGAGAATTGTGACCTGGTTCATTCCATGCACCATTTCGATTTTTCGAGATATCTGTGATTCTTCATGTGATGAATTAAATGGACTATATATCATGCTAGTTATCATGCTAGGGCTTTACGCCGATACTGTTGGGACCCCTAGTGGTCGTTTCTTGTTGTCGTCTCACTGATTTCATTGATATTCTGTACTCAGTCATGTTCATGCATTTCATATCACATCTCAATCTCAGCTGTTATTTATTTGCACATCATATCATTTTTCCGGGCAAGTTTTCATGGCATTGTGAGACTGCGGGAGAGACTGGAGAGTGATGACTGAGTGAGGCTGAGAGTCTGATTATGAGTGATAGTTATGGGTCGGGCTGCACGCCGCAACGGATTATTGATATATGCCTTCGCTGGCTTGTGATAGCGCTTGGGCTGAAGGAGCCCGTCTGGAGTCTGTAACACACCCCCAGTGAGCGCGGTTGATTATATTCAGGGATGGATCTTCCCTTGGTATGGAGATGGATCTTCTCCATGAGGCTGGATTGGCATGTTCCACGGTACTAGAGACTGATGGTCTGTGATGTGCATATATTCTGAGATGAATCTTCCCTGGGCCTTGTGAGCCATATACAGTGGTGGTTGTGAGGTTGTTATTACTATTATATAGAGATGGATCTTCTCCATAGGCTGGATTGGCCTTCCTCAGTACTGAGTGACTGCTTTCAGAGATGTATATATTCCGGGATGGATCTTCCCTGGGCAGTGTGAGCCATATACAGTACTGAGTGGACAAGCATTTGAGATTGTGGGCACATGAGGCACTCAGCATGGTGCATTTCATATAGTATGTGCATTGGCATGTAGATGTAGCACAAGTACACTTCTTTAGCTTTTTCATACCTGCTCTGCTTAACTGATCGAGCTGTTTATTTTACTAAAAGCATGCCTATTTTTCTATACGTTATTTTTGTTATCTTTGATGAGGTTGAGTTCGTCACTACCTATTAGTCCATAGGTTGGACTAATTACTTACCTAGTTGGTGTACTCACGTTACCCCCTGCACCTTGTGTGCAGATCCAGGTGCTTTCGGTCCCAGTGGCAGTCACTGATCGAGGTTGCGGGCTAGGGAGATTGTTGAGGTATCTGCATGGCATTCGCAGATCTTGACCCTCCTTCTCTATTCTAGTTGTGTTTCAGTTGTATTCAATAAACATTGTAGTAGACTATGTTATTTCTCCAGAAGCTTATGTACTCCGTGACACCCTACTTTTGGACTGGTTGAATCGTGTTATGGATTTTGCTTATGTTACGAACAGTCTATTTTCTTAAAGGATAAAAGTACTCTTTCGCAAATATTCTAAATTTTAGTATTGTGGTTGGTTTTTCGTTGAGTTGAGGCTGGCCTAGTTCCATGATAGGCACCATCACCACGGGTTGGGTTTGGGTCGTGACACTACTAGAGCCTCAGATTGCCCAGGATCCTTCATTTGTTCTTGCAAATCAATTAGTCTTTGTCTGCATACCTTGATCCGATCACCAAGAGCATTATACTCATTATTGTTTAAAACCTTCATAGCCTGCTTCACTCTTTTTAATTTGTGCCAAACATTTCTCATAATGTTTTGTTCCTGTGGCCTCTCCCATGCTTCACTTACTATCTTTACAAACTCATCATGCTCAGCTAAGTGATTTAAAAATTTGAAAGGTTTAGGCCTATGGTCTTCATCCTCTTCCAGTGTTATACTCCGTGAGGAATGATCAGAGCAATGTGGATCCATAACCCATACCTCTAAGTGTGGCATGGCTAGCATCCATTCAGCATTAATCAGAGCCCTATCAAATCTACTATAAGTGTGTCCATTTGTCCATGTGAATCTCCTTCCACTAGTTTTCATTTTTGTCAATCCAGTGCTTTCAATAAGGTCATTGAAGTCTCTGATCTCCATTTGTTGCACAAGATTACCAAGTGGTCTATCTTCCCCAGATCTAATGGTATTATAATCCCCCATTATCAACCATGGACCTTGTTGTATAGAGTGCAAACTTGTCTGCTCATTCCATAGGATTCTTCTATCTTCCACACTATGCAATCCATATACAATTGTAAATGTGAACCTCATATCCAATCTCCTAACATATACTGAATTGTGTATAATTTGAGAAGATCTTTCCAATTCTATGCAGTCTATTTCACTTGAATCACATAGCAACCATATTCTTCCTCTACTACTATATTCATAGTTGTCTAGACATGCCCATCCAGGTGTGATTTTCCTTATTATTTGCATAGCCTTCCGCTCTTTTATTTTATGCTGTAATAATGCAATCATATATACTTTATTACTACGTATGAACCACTTCACCTATTTTTGCCTAGGGGCTTTATTTAGACCCCTTATGTTCCAAGTGACTAGCTTCATACAGGTATGAAAAGGGGTTGCATAGTCCCTTCCTGCCCATTATTACCTTGCTGCCTACTTGTTCCTTCCTCCATTTGCCTTGGCATTGCTAGCTGCAGTTCAGACTCTGTGAGAAGATTAAAGCCATTGAGCACATTGACTACATCAACTGATTGTCTTTCTCTACTTCTAGCTGTTGTCTTTCCTATAAATGTCTGCCTTGCTTGTTCTTCATCTCTTTTCCTTGCTCCTATACTAGCACTAGCAACCAGTGTACTAGTGCTAGCATTTCCTTCAATACTAGGAGCTGTCATCTTTGGTTGTTCTTTATCAGCTGCTTCTTGCACTTTAAGTACAGGTTTAGGTTGCCATTCCTGTTTCTGGTTTGGATTCTTAGCTTTAAGTTTTGGTCCTACCTGCTCATCTACTCTGCATTTGTGGCCCACTTGAATACATTTATTACAAAATTCAGGGACCCAATCATATGCTATTTCCTGTACAAACTCCCTCCCATTTGGATCAGTCACCTTGATGGATCTAGGCAGCTCTTTAGCAACATTCATTTCCACCAGCACTCTTGCATAGGAGATCCTATCAACTTGAGTAGTACAAGCATCAGCATACAGGGGAATTCCCAAGCCACTACTTATCCTGCTGAGTCACTTATTTCTTCAACAGTTCAAAGGAAGATTAGGGTACTTGAACCATACTGGTATAGTTTGTAGGACCTCTTTGTTGATATCAAAATCAGCAGACCACACTTTAACAATGATAGGCTTGTTATTCGGCATGTGAGGTCCGGAATACAACACTTCATCCCTATCTTCAATAGAATTGAATCGAACCATAAAATATCCATCATTGTGAAAATACACCTTAGGCTTTGCTATAAATTTCCATACTGAAGCAATATATCTTTCCGTGGCACCTATTGTTGGAATTCCTCCAACAACATACAAAATTAATGCTTGCTTCCATTTCAGAGTTTCTTCCTCGATTTCTTCCTTGCAAAGTTCCACAATCACCTTACCATTTTTTAGAGTTGGCGCAATAAAGCTCAAATCCATTCCTTTAGCTGCAAAATTCGATCTCACAAACAGATTTGCCCGCTGCTTCTGCCCTTTTTCAACCTACACATGAGGAAAATTCACTTGAGGTCGAGTTATCTCTTATGTATTCTCTTTTCCCCCCAATTTGCAGTAATTGTTACAGAACTCGCACCAATTGCCACATTTTTGCTTACACTAGGACTTGCATGTTTCATCGGACCATAAGAAACTACTTTGCCTCTATGAATGACCTTATCTAATGGAGTTTTCATACCTTCCTTTGTGGCTGACAATGGGGGCCACCGTTCCATTGATGTTTCCCCTAAATCTCTAATTGTATTGCTCTCATTCCTCAAAACTGGAGTGCTCGTTCCTGCATAACCAGCTACTTGACTCGTGGTTGCAGTTCTCTTCTGTCGTCCCCTCCCCATGGCAGTCGCCGTACATTAGCACATGCACTCTAACGTGCGCTGAGAGAGAAGAGAGAAGAGAGTTTTTCCTCCTCTTTCAAAGAAACATAAATTCTTTCTATTTTTGAGCATATGAAAATATTTGACACGCAAATTCATTACAAATATTATTATTTTATATAATTTTCTTATATTTTCATAATTCAATTTAATTTATAAATCATTCATATAAAGATTTGATGTGATTTTTTCCTTTCAGACTTCATTTTAAATTATTACCTATCTTTGAATAAAGTGGACCTATGTTGACCTCAACGGTTATTAAAACTATATTGTGTGAAAAAATTATTATTTTGTTTTTTAATTAAAGTTATTCACAAAAGCTATACTGACCCGAGGTAATGAAGGTTTCTATCTATAAAATTACCCAAAAGAATATATGAAGGAAAACATAAATCTTAGCCTCGATGGAAGTATGAAGAAAAGGAGAACTCGTTGTCTGCTCCATTTAACATCACTAGAGGTGGCAATGTGAGCCCAAATCTATTCAATCCGCTCAACCCACTCAGAGATTAATGGGCTGGACTACAAACATTTTAGCTCATGAATTTTGAGCCCAAGTTAACCCATTATTCTTTATAGCCCACTATGACCCATTAAACAGTCCAAATACAACCCATGAAACTCACCTAAAACAAAGGGATCTCAACGCAACTTATCTAGAATTTTACTTAGTTACCCCAATTATGGCCATTTTTTAGCCCATCTTGACCCAGCCCATCTTAGCCCAAGAATACTTTGGAATGGGTTGGGCAATTACCCATTTATTGACCTAACCCATCTTGACTCGCCTAAATTCAGCCCAACCCGCCCATTTGCTACCCCTAAACATGACTCTCTCATTGTAGATTTTGAACTAACAACAAAAAAAGGCCAAAAGAGTTCCTCTTTCAATCAGGAAAATGTGTTTTTCAACGAGGAACAAAAATGTTTGTTGAGTGACCATTTTTAAAAAAGAAAGTGGCCATTCTAGCATGAGCCAAGGTAGTTCTAAGTATCCGCTTACAAGTTACATCATATTAGTAGAATATTCAAGTTTGTTAAGTGATATGATTTACAAAATCTATGTGAAATTCATGTTTGTTGCGTGATGTCATTTATAAATCCATGTGAACAAAATCTAAGCGAGAACCCAAACCTATTGTAGTAGCCAACCAAATATAGACCAATAATATTTGTCAGGAAAATGTGTTTTTCAAAGAGGAACAAAATGCAGAGATCAAGTTTGATTTTCGTACTTGTGATGTCACTAGCCTCGACAATATTTTGCAACTCGAGTGTTTATTCACTACTAAAAAATGCCCAAAAACCGTCTGTCGATTTCCGACCAAAATCCGTCAAAGTGCAAACCGTCTAAGAAACCATCTATATTCGGTCGGAAATGGCCAAAATAAAGGTTTTTTTTAATAACTGAACTGACCAAAGTTTGTCGGTAAATTTAGTGCCAAAAACCAAAAATACAACTTGCGTCCGTAATCTTAACATTCCGATCGAAATCGGTCTGTATGTAGTCAAACTTCAGCTTTTGTGTAGAAAGTAAAATATAAATTAAATAATATTTTATAATTTTCGACTGAAATTGGTCAGATAATTAAACCTGGAAAATATTTTCCAATTTACCGATCAATTTCAGTCGGTATTGAAGTCAAATTTTTGGTCAAACATGAGTAAATATATAAATCATTTTTAAATTATAAAACTAATTAGAATTTATGACTGATGTCGATCGAATCTTGATATAAATTTATATTTATTTTATTTTTCAAAATTTTCAACCGATTGTGGTCGGTATATTAATTTATTACCTACTCTATGTTTTAAACTTCTTCAAGGGCCTGAGTGTATGTTTCTTACTATTTCCTAGTTTTGTGAGAGTATAAACCCGTCATTGGTGCCAAAATCGGAAGTTTTTCCCCCCAATATTTAAATAATGTTAAGACAAAATATAAGCTCTATTAATATTTGTTATAATGTATCATTTATAAATTGAAAATATTAAGAATGGCTGTATAATATTTGAATTAATTTCTTGTTTATATAGATGTTGGAACTGGGAGCTCGGTCTGAGTAAGAAAATGATTTTTATATTGGAACTTTTATTTATATATGCTACATTATAAACTTATTTACCCCTCCTAGTGAGGTTATCACTTAACTACGTTAGTATATACATACAAGTTACCATTTATATAAGAAATAATGTATTAGAATCAAATTTTACAATTTTAGGTATAAGGAGGAGCCATATATTCCCTGATCTCCTCTCTCTGCGGATCTCCTTAATCATCAGATTCTCCTCATATCTCTTCCCTCTCTCTCACCTAGGATCCTCATCTATTGCTTCCAATTTATTAAAAACTTTTAAAAGATATTTTCTATAGAATTAAGATGTTTTAGTCGTAACTCGTAATTTACTCCCGCAAAAATCCCAAGAGTTCTTCTTCACCTTCGTCTCCACCTTATTGATTGAATATTTAATTAACTCTATAATTGACATTAAACTCAAATTCTAAATCAAAAACTAAATTAGACTGTAAAGACATGAACTTAAACTCTATTGACGGCCATTAAAAAGCTTCGAAATTTTGAATTTGATAATTGAATTTTGGAAAATTGCTATTTGTTTGAATTGGATGTTGTTGCAAATGATTGTATACTTTATATCTGTCATGACCCAACGTTCCCTCCGTTTGGGTATCGTGATGGCACCTAGTCTTAGGGACTAGGTAAGCCTAACTCATGCTGAAATACCACAATAATAAATGAGATTTAACAGTCTTGAAGCAGAAATCTCTACAAAATTATAATTCCCAAAACCCAGTAGTACAAGTCATAAGCTCTACAGAGTTTCGAAACAACTTCTAAATACAACCGTATGGAATAAGTACAATAGTGTGAATATAAAAAAAGGAAGGCGACTCTGAAGCCGGCGAACGCAGCAGCAGGGCTACCTTGAGTCTCCTCGGCAAGAATCCGCATAGCTACTAGCGAACAATACCTAGATCTGCACAAAAACAATGTGCAGAGGTGTAGTATGAGCACACCACAGCGGTGCCCAGTAAGTATCAAGACTAACCTCGGTGGAGTAGTGACGAGGAACAATCAAGACACCTACTGGTTTAATATACAGAACATGATATTTATATAGAGACTACGCGATACGGCTAACAATACAGTAATTAAAATAAGGAAAGAAAACAGCAATTACTAAGTAGAACACCATAAGGAAAACACGAAAAGGTAAGCGAGAATACAACCCAAATCCTAAATCACAATACAGTAAAGACAAGTCATAATTCAACAACTCCGATAGTTTTCACCTTAAGTCTTAACCAACAAGCGTCAATCAAATAGTCAAACCCTTAAGCGATAAAAATGTTTCGAAATATACTTCATTCAAATAAATGTTCTTTTCAAAAAGAGTTCCTTCAGAATAAATGCTTTTCGAATATAATCTTTTCAAATAGATAACCTTCGCATATCAGTCACTCTGTGACACCTCATCTCATAATCATACAATACGGGTCTCAATACCTGAACCCTAACACTTGTCATCCTGTGCCCTCATCACACCTCCTAATCATACTGACAACTCACGTGCCCAAAAGAGTCATTCTCACATGGAAGGCAAACAGCAAGGGTGTGCGTCTATACTCGGAAATCTCAAGGATCCTATCCAATAAGGGTGATTAACCATGTGTATGCTTGCGCAAGTGTCCTAACATAGTTCATACCAACTAGTAAGTATAAGGAACATAACGGACAACACCTATATGTTTACACAGGGATAGGATCAATGAAACATCAGCTCAAACGCAATGATTTTTAACAGGGGATCTCCCAAGATATCGTCCCGTAGTCCCAAACGTAAATAATCGGGGATCTCTCATTATCCTCAATATATGTGCTGGGGATCTCTCGGCATCCCGAGGATCTCTTAGTATCCTAATATATGTGTTGGGGATCTCTCGGTATCCCGAGGATCTCTTATACCATCAATATATGTGCTGGGGATCTCTCGGTATCCCGAGAATCTCTTAGTATCCACAATATATGTGTTGGGGAACTCTCGGTATCCCGAGGATCTCGCAGTATCCTCAATACATGTGTACAGGGGAATCTCCCGGGTGCAGTCCCGTAGTACCAAAAGTAAATATGCAGGGGGATCTCCCGGAATACTGATCCGTAGTCCCATAGTGAACATGCAGCGCAACCAACAGAAACAACAGTCACAACACAACAGAAAGCTCGTACATCACCACAATACATAAAACAACAACAATGACAATAATACAAGGTAAGACAAGTAAATCAACTTAAGGACTATAAATCGCAAGAAAACGGCAGAACCAGCTCACCAGGAATAACCACAGAAATGAAATGCTGGCATAAAGGGAACAATTCAACAACGGGAAAAACTAATACATAGCGACAATCCCACAATATACAAGTCTATAACAAGGAAATCAACATGAGTCAAATAGCCCCAAATAAGGGAAAGTCAATAAGGACATAGGTTATCTAACTTCTATTAAGATTGGACAATTTCGAGGATATTCAACAATTCAATTAAGGAAAGATGATTTTTAGCTCCACTTAAGACTAAACAAATTTTAGGAAGGATAATGATGATTCTCAAATAAGACAACTGCTATGAAAAAGATAGCATAACAATAGGAGATACAAAATTCTTCAATTTAATCAAATAGGAGTCAATTAGGCAATAAGAGTGAATCATGAAGCAATTAATTCCAATTAAGCATGTAGAGGAGAAACTAGTAAATAGGAAACTCAGTCTGGTCAAGAACACATTCATACACAGTGAATATAAAGACCTACGAACCCTAAAAGGCCAATTTTCCACAAATAAGTCCGAACACGCACTCGTCACCTCGCGTACACAAACTACAATCAACATAGAAGACTCAAATCCTAAGGGGAAGTCCCCCACACAATGTTAG